CTTTTCCCGATACGGTTTATCCCAAACCGCTTATGCCGCGCGTGCGACCCCGTAAATAACCGGTAGCTTACGGTATCCCGCCAGGCCGCCCCAATGCCCGGCAACGCTTGGGGAAACCGGTTATAAAGCTTTATAGCATTCGGAAAAATAGGTCCGTACCGGCATATAAAAGGCTTTTTTTTCCGCTCGAAGCTACGAGCCCTTTTTTTTCCTTTTTGTATATTTAATAACCATTTTAACAATTTCGACGATCGTAACCGTAAATAATTGGTATTTGGCCGTTCTTTTTAAACATTTAAATTTAACCGGTAATTGCAAATGTTATTTTTCGTACCCAATTACGTAAAAAAGGTAATATTCTTTCGGGTATCCGCTTCGGGTTTTTCGGTCCTAACCGGCCCGCTAACCTTTTTTGGCGACCCCTCGGTGTTTTCCCCAATTATCGTAATTTAATCGGATTTGGATTCGGTTTCGCCGAAACCTTTAATTTTTTAAATCCTTAACGATCGCTTTGCCGGTAACCTTTTGGTGGGCCCTTTAAATGTTGCGGGTTTATCGAGCCCTTTTGCGCTTGCAACCTTTTAAAATTTCCGCAAGCGTTTTGCCGGTAACCCCCCAGCGGGTTTTAACCATCGCAGCAAAAAAAACCTTCGCCGAAAAAAAGCGTAAAGCGCGCAACGAACGCCGCCGTAACGCTTTTAACTTTAATAAATTTGCCCCCGAAACGGATATTGCTTCCTTTTTATTTTACATAGGTATTCGTAACGCGCTCCCGTTGCAAAAAGTTATCGATTTCCAATAAAGCAATAATTAAGACCCTATTTATTTGCCCCTTTTTAAAAACAATTATACGGAGCGTACGGTATTTTATGGCCGTTGTTTTGGTTGTTAAGCATATTAAAATTATGCCGTTAACCCCCGTATACCGATATATTCCAATAATTGTACGGGGTTTTCCAAATATATTTATTGCAAAAACGTGGTTGGCAATAAAGCTTGCGTTAAATTTTCTAAATGGTTTTGGGAAATGGCCCAAAACCTTTATAAAATTTTAAATACCGTTTACAAGCGGTTGTTCGAAACGATACCGGAATTTTTCGAAAAGCTTATTAAAGCCCAATTTTGCGCCCGCAAAGCTATCCAAAAAGCTAAATCCTTTTATACCATATCGGCCGAACAATTTGCGCGTTACAAACGTTAAACCGTTATCCAAAAGCGCATCCAACGCAAAATTGCTAGCGTTACAATATTAAAGGCTACCCAAAATATTTTTTAACAATTTTACGCCATCGCCGTTTAAACGAAAAGGTAAGTTTAAATTTCGGCTGGCATCGGTAATTTTTTTAACAAAATAAAAACGTTTTTTAAACGTTTCGAAAAAGGTATAGTTGCTTTTTTTAATAACATTACCGTTAGCTTTGTTACAATTGCGGCGCATTTAAATATTTAAATTTATAACCGCACGGCTTTCCGTAAGGGTGCGGCGTTCGTATTAGCGCCGGGAAATGCCGCTTTCGGCGCTAACAATTTTAGCGGCAATAATTATAGCGCTAGCGAAAAGGACGTGGTTTTTAAAGGTTTTGGTTTTTTTGGATACGGCATTTAATCGATTTTTTTTACATATTTTCCTAATTAATTATTGGTATTCCCTTTTTA